CCAGCAAAGAGCAGGGGTTCCCTAACCAGAAGCATTTGTTTTAGAAGAAACTCAGATAAACAAACCACACCAAACTGCACCAGTGGCTGACATCAAGCCTAATCGGATGATGAAACAACCGATCGCTTTCTGCTGGCATCACCAGTTAAAGATGCATACAGAGCACTACTGTAATATGTTCTGGTTTCATTCTGCAGCTACCACTACGGTGTCATTAAATGAAAGAGCCAGGCAGTTCTGATCGTTCTTATCCTGAGCTAAGTCATCCTGGACTACTACAGCTCATTTTTAGAGGAAGAGAAGCATGCGAAGAGACTACATTCACATTTCTCAGCCAAAAAGTCAGCCTCTAAGCTTGCCAACGTGGGTATCAAGAGCTGCAATGGCTTAGAAAGAGACAAGCACGCACACGCACTATTTCACTGAGCACAAAGAAAAAAGAACTGTGTCACTACTGATTCATTTCTCTGACATGATTTCTTTCAAATTCTTATCCAAGGGAACCTAAAACTACCTGATGTGCAGCAGCACTAGAAGAGGGTTGGTGTTTGCTACCAGAAGAAATGAATTCAGCAAGCCCTACATAGAGCTGGAGTAATTTTCAGAGAAGCAACACGTCTGTTGTTGACAGGAACTTCATCCATGGGAGAATCCACCTGGCACGTCTCCAAATCGAGTCTACAACAGCGTGCCCCCCACCAGTGTAACCCTACCGCACAAAGTGACCTCAGAGGGAAACAGCAGCCTAGACAGGACAGAGCAAAAGTAAGAAACAGGTGAAATATTGTCCCGTACCTGTGTGATATCTGAGTGCTCTGGTATTTCTAATAATTCAATCTGTTGTTCCTGTGCCTGTGCAATAAAGGCCTCTTTAATGTCTTCGGAAGTACAGTGGTCCAATGGGATGGGAATGACCTGGAGAGGGAGGACAACATTTCCGTAAAAAGAAGAAAAAGACAAAAGAAACCACTTGCAGAAAGCAATCCATCACCGGAGCTGGTTTGCTCCTCAGTACTGCTCGGCGTCATCAAACCAGACAGGTGAGTACCTATCTGTACAGGCTTAAACTTATGAGACTTTTTCATGTAGGAGCTGAACAAAAAAGCTGAAAACTAAAATCTTGAAAAAGTTCTCAGCACAGCCTTCTCCTTTCTAATCTATGTGGTAGTTCAAGGCCGCTCTGATACAGTTACAGATCTGCCAAATACAGAAGCCACCACAATGAACCTTGAAATGGCTGACACACAAGGACAAAAAAACAACAAAAAAAATCAAAGGGCTGGTGCTGGTAAACAATTACCAGAGTTCTGCGTATATCTTTAGATTTTCAGCCTAATTCAGTTATAAACGCGAGCACCACGCTTCTTGTGCCAGTGCAAGCCAGGGAAAGTCAGAGCAAGGTCTTGCAACTATCTGAAAACCTTATGGGCTTCTTAATCAGTTCCATCCAGGGAAAAGTTTTCCTCACCCACTCAACACAACCAACACTGTGCTGCTGTAACAGGAAGAATTAAATGACTGTGTCAGAACCTGCACACCAGTTTTATTTTTGCTCTGGCTCTGTCTGTGGGTAGGACGACTTCTCTCCATGCTCTGGGAAAGCACAGAATGAAGAGGGAACTTTGAAGATCAGCTTTCTCTTTTGATTCATTTGCAGGTAAGTGCTAGTTTATATTCTCTCAGGGTGACACTAAAACCATACCTGTAACTGCAGATGCTGACTCCTATAGTTTCTTTCAAATAGGATTCCCTTGCTTCTGAAAAATTCCTTTAGGGCAGACTTGTACTTGGTCACTTCTTCCACCACCTCTGAAGACAAGTCAGCCACTGACTGATAGTGCCCGATAGGCAAAATCAAGACGTGATCAGGTAATAAGCCACCTTTGGCCAGGGCAAGATAGCACTAGAGTGAAACAATACATGCCAGTTACTCGCTGCAAGCAACACTCACCATGTTGCAGAAGTTTACTGTCTGACTGCATTCTGAGTATCCCCCAGCCTAGCGATTCTGCCTCAGGATTAGGAGAGTCTTTACCTCTATGTCATTTATTAGGGATTGTTTATTAGCAATTTATTATTAGAGAAATGAGAGAGGGACTGCTGAAGGACCAAAAAAAAAAATTATCTTTTGAATGCAGAAAATGCCCTGTTTGCAGGAAAGCAGCTGAGTGAACTTCACCACTGTGGCTAGAAAATACACTTGAAAATTGTAAACAGCTTTTAAAGTAAGTCGAACCCGTCCCCTTAGCAGTTTGAAGTGCATTATGCTATACAGGAACAATAACTTTAAGCAAAGTGAATATCCCAATGATTGAATTAATCTCAAAGATGTACTTCAAGATATCAACTTTGAACCTATCTTAACTTCTCTTTAATCTATATGTAACAAAACCGGAACCAATCATCCCAGGGAGATCTGGCATAACTATAGACAGTGCATTGGGATAGCAAAGCAGGTCCCAGTTTACACTGAGTTCATGCTGGAAAAGTTCTGCCAGATGGTAACATAAGAAAGCCATGAAGGCTGACACAGCAAAAAGTGTTCTGGCACTGTAATCCACCTCTGCTGCTGGAACAAAACTAGGCCATGCTTCATTTTTTAAAAGACTATCTATCTACTTATGTCCTTTGTAGAGGAGATGCAAAGAAACTGAAAACAAAACCAAGAGTCAGCTTCAAATAAAGTTGGTTTGGTTTAAGATTTTTAAATTTTTTTTTAAGGTTTTTTTAAGATTTAAAATTGGAAACTGATATTTTACATTGCCATGTCTTAGCACAATTCTGCCATCATGTAGCAAAGAACGTGCTACGGGTACTTACATGTGTGCCGATACTAACAACCAAATGCTTCTCAACTTCTGGGCTGGCAAGGCAGAACCAGCAGGGCCCCGTGGGCTGTGCTTTATTGGGAGAGGAAAGAGAAACAAGCATTAGCAGAAGGCTTATTTGTCAGAACAAAGAACTGAACAAGATCTGGAAGAGCTGTTATTTTCCAGCCACTCTTCCCAGTTGATAAAGTGCTGAAGATGTCAGAAGGACGCAGCTCCTGGAAGTACTGGTGCCTCTGGGAAATTCCAGCAAGAGAGGAGGTGGTGGCAGTTACACGCTTGCTGACTGCCGTTCTCATCGAGTGCTCTAATTTCACAGAAGACCACTAATTCCAGGAATTGAGTGGTTACAGCTCACTACTAAGAAAGCACCAGTGAATTTAAGCAAACAAAACAAAATGAGGTAAAATGATTACACAGGTACAGACAAGGATAGATGCTGTCAAACGCACTTGTCAGTTCTGGCCTGTTCGTGGTGCTCAAAACAGCTGGATTCACACTCAAATTGCAATACCTGAGCTGACCTTTAATAGCAGCTGATGGCACTGATAAGTTCGGCCTCTCCTTAGGGTCACATGCTATATTCGCATCCTCTACAGGCTGTGTACAGGAACAGACTATCAGCTCTGCAAATGCAATAAACATGATGGGGCTCTCCCCAGAACTGCAGGAAACCAGATGTCCAATTTTGGGGTTAATTTCCAAGCAAAACCACATAACAAGGCTCTCTTCTCCTGACATCAAACTCCAGAAGACTTTGGAAGTTCTAGGAATATGCACAATGGCACACTGTGACCTACAGAAGTGATGGGGGAAAACAAGAAAACCCACGCATATTCCTTCATTAGAACTGACTGCCATCGCAGCCAGTTGTGTCTCTGCAAGCATGTGTAGAGCAATGACACCACACTTGCTTTAGCATAATTTAACCAGTAGAACCATTATATGCAAGGACTATGCAAAGGGTTTGGAAATCTAATAAATAAAAACTGAATAACTTAGTCTCACGTAACAAAGGCAACCAGACTTATCTACCAGAGGCATTCTTGAAGAATGTTTTCTTACCCACTGGCAGTGGGAATAGCTCTCACAGAAACAAAAGGGGAGGCCGACATATACATTTGCTTTTTAAGCCCAAATTTCTTTATAACCGAGACCAACATTTCTAAAGACATACACTTGCAATAACCCCGTCACTGAGAAGAAGTCATGATAATTTCATTTGAATTTCTTCAAGTCAGACAAACTCTAATGAGACTCACAGCACAGAAATACAGAGGCAACAGGAGGGCTTCCTCCCTTCGTAGTTCACTAATACTTTGTGAACTCACGGCACAGAATCGCTGAAGTGGTGTTTCAAGAACTTGTCAGTACGGTGATCCAGACTCTTGCACATTGGCAAGCTGACATATACAGCTCAACATCCCGAGAAAAATTAAGAGTGAGATAGTCCCATGCCTCGAGGGAAGAGCTCAGGAGAAAAGCATCTGCATACTTACGGGGTTTTTTGGCTTGCTTAGGTTGTGAGTCCCCTCTCTCTTTCCCATCCGAGGGACGTTTCTTTCCCTGATGCTTCTTCAAATCAAAGAAAAACTGACAAGCTGGTTCGTCCTGTTTAGGAAAGAAAGACTGAGCCCATTATAACGGCATCACAGAGAGTCACAGTACATACAAGAACCTGATTTTTCTTGAAGAGGCGTGTAACCACCTTCGAAAAGCATCAACAGTGAAAGCACCGATATCCTGGAACAGAATTAATTGAGCTCTCCCAGTAACGTAGCAGACTTTGCCTCCCTGGATGCACAACCTCAACAAGGGAAAAAATTCTGGGAGAGCTGCCCCAAATTGCTATGTTCTCCTATTTAGCTTCATGCTGAACATTCAGAACTGCTTGATTTTATGGATTATTCAAATCTTTTTCACCTGACAGCCCAGGCCAAAAGAATGTCAGTATTTCTTAGAGATGTTAACCTCACACAGACTCACACAGAGGCTGATACCATTTGATGAAGTTGTCATGTACAGCATTGAATCTATACAATTTGATTGATACAGTTGATGTAAATAGTTTACACAGAACCCTGAAGTGTATTGGACAGAAATATTCCAAGGTTAAAGCCAAACACTGTTCTAAGCTCCCTGAACACAGAGAGTGAAACCAGAGTGAACCCATGGGGGAGAAGGCAGCAGTACCTCTGCGCACAGGGTTGCTTTGGTCTTCTGTGCCTCTTTCCATGATTTCCGGTATGGATTTTCTGTGACGTCCTGTGGCTGTTTCACCAGCTCGGCAGGGTCCATCAAGCTCATCGGCACAATGCTGAAGGCATAGAGATACTAAAACAAAAACAGATCGTTCAAATGAAAGAAGCTTTGCCATAACTGCAGGTCTGAAGAGGCCAGCTGTGAACTCAGCCACCCTGAAATGGTAACGCACAATTCAGCACTGCAACAACTCAGCAAATCAGTGCTTAAGCTAAGGCAGCCCATGAAAAACACATTCCCTGTGCCAGTCTCCCACCCAGCGCAACCAAGAATTTATGGAGTGCTTCCAAGTGGCTCATTTCACTTCAACAAAAGATTTCTTTTAAAAGCAGCAGTGTATCTGACTTGAAAAAAGAAATGACCTTGATCCTTGCCTGCTTGCAGACTTGCTTTCTGTCCACAACTCCTGGAGCTTTTTTTGTTACCAGGCCTGGTTCCTATGCCTTCTTAACCACTAGCTACCTGTCCTTCTATACCAATATTCTCTAATTTTGTGAAAAGAAGAGAAACAAGTTAAAAAAAAAAACACAAACAACAAACCAGCCCCATCCCAGAAGTTATGTATTTTCAGTGACTTGCAAGGGCTTCTTTGGAATTTTGCTTCTTTCTTAAAGCAGGACATGTGAACAAAAAGTAGGAAGAGGAAGGAATGGCAGCTTTCTGACCTCTTTCCTCTGCAGCTATCTTCACAGCTACATGCCATTTGACCAGGTAGAGAAGAACAATGGTGCCTCAGAACACATATTGCAGCCCTTACCCCTCTGACAGAATGGGCAAATGGTATCTGTTACTCAAGTGAGAGAGATCCCTCTACATCAGTCAAGCTTTTAAGCAACCAGTGCAGTCCTCTGTCAAAAGCTGGGCTTACTCTGCCCTATTACTTGTACTTGAGAAAAGAAGAAAGATTCAAGAGTGTCAGTACCTTTTTCTTGCTTGTATTGCCGACATCAGCAAGTGCAATAAACCTGCTCACGTGCTGGGGGGTCTCCTGTAGCACTGTGTGGTTTCTGAAAGGAAGCAAAACACGGCTGTACTGGCATGTACAGTATAGAAAAGGACAGTGGGTAAACTGCGTGTCCTCCACGAAGCTCCTCAGACAGCACGTCAGCAACATGTACAGTCTTCGGCCAAGAACGAGGAGGCTTGAGGACACACAGACTCATGAGATCTAACAGCAAACAGCCACACAGACCAAGGTGACATCTCATCGCAGTCCAAGTAGAGAGATGAGAGGACAATTCACTAGCCTGAAAACAGCTACACCTGTAAAGTGTTTCCTGCAGAAAGGATAACAACCTCACCCAACATTAACACAACAGCCTTAGTTGTGTTAGGGTGGGTTGTTCTGACGCTAGTCACATTTTATTAACAAAGTTATGACTGGAGACACCAGTCTCATCACCACACAAAAGCCTTTTTATGATACATTTTCAGAGATACACCCCTGAATTAGGCTGAACACTGTTTAAATGTGACTAAGGGCAATTAACTTGCCATCAGATTCGCAGGAATGTACTCAAGCAAGTGTTGTCAGCAATGGCACAGTTTTCGAGGCAGCAGGAATTACGGTAATAAGATGCATCTGTGAAACAATCTTGACCCTGTGTTGGGGCTGGATGACTTAATAAAATTATTTTAGTTTTCCTCCTGTGTTCTTTAAAAATTGAACTCTCATTATAAAAATAAATGATATTTCACACGGTCTTACAAACCTGTAAGGAAGTCTTTCATAATAGGCCTTTTCCAGGGCAGCAAAGTGGTACCTTGGTTTGAGACTCGCAGCTAGATCGGATATTAACTTGGAGCCACATTTCTTGGTATTGATTTCTCCCTACAAAATGCAAACCAAGTTTTATTTAAAAAACTGTCAGATTGCAGTGAAAAGAAAGAGTTTTATACAGAACTGCATGCTGGAAATGTAGAGACTGACTATAGCAGTTACTGTTCCCTGGAAGTGGGAAAAAAAGTCAAAAGGGCTTGATCTCGTATTGCCAGCCAGAGCCTACGTATTTATTCCATTCTGTGTACTCAGGGTTTGCATCCACTCATTTCATCAGTCCACATTTGTCATCTTTTCCTTCTCTTGGTCTTGTGAAGTCAGGGCAGCACAGAGTGAATTTGGCAAACACAAACAGATGTCAAAATCATTAAGACAAGTTTTCACCACATGCCCAGAGTGCCAAAGGAGTTTTCCTCTCTGTGCTCCGTCCTGCTGCCCTCAGAGCAGGCATGGCAGAGGGGAGCCCGGCAGTGGTTGCACTGAGGGCTGGCTGCTTCCAGCCCCACTGAAAACAGCCAGAGCTATAAAGCACCTCAGGAAAAAGAAACGCACAGACTTCTCCAGGCAGTCGATTCTCATCCATGCAATTTAGCTCCTCACACTGCTTTTGTTGAAAGAGAAGCTTCAGGTGACAAAGAGCAAGAGACTTAACTGTTCATTCCTCAAACTTCCTGCTTTATTTGAGTGACAGTATTTCAGGGTCTCAGTGCTCCAGGGAAACTCCAAGACTTATCACTGCATCTGTCAGGTGATAAAGTACACACTCCACAAGATGCATATTTGAATCACTGGAATCACTAGTAATATACTCCTCTGTTAATCCATTCTCAGAAAATTCATGTTGAGGTAAGCCACAAGTGTAACAACCTGACCTACTGCAGAGAATCCCCAGAGGAATTTCAAGACCTGAGTTTTCTTTTTAAGCTAGAACATCCCTACAACTTGTTTGTCTCCAATTCCCTGGAGTGTTTTTTCTTAGGGGGGGAGATGAGGGAGTGTTCTTTATGCTTTTAGACTGAGGATTATATATCTTTTTGGATGTTAGAAGATACTGAGAGGAAACAAAAGTGTACTCTTGCCACGGTATGCAGCCTTGCTCCCCAGGAAGGTTTCAGAGCACCTGAACTTAAAACTGGAAAGTCACTTCTGCTAAGGAACACTGACAACAGAAAATCGGACACTATTGACTCTGATTTTTCAGGCAGGGACAGATAAAACACCCTGAGGTCTCACAAATTCTCCTCACCATTGGTCCTTCTTCTCTGAAGAACCAGAACATCTGCTGTCCATTTTTTACTCTCAGCCTTCTCAAGCACTCGGAGATAGCCCAATAGCCCAAATTGTCACAGCAAGCAGAAAGGCAATCCTTTGCTGACTCCATCTGGACCCCGATTCCAGCAGACAACAGAACACTTACCGCACTGTTGGCAAAAGTCCCCACATCTCTGGGCCAGGGGGACGTGAGCAATATATCCACACCTTTGAAGTTTGGCATTGATAACAAAGATGTTTTTAATTCTGCCACATCCTTTGCGCTAAAACTGTAGGCAGGAGCTGGCTCATCTTGGGACTCGATACCACTCAGGTATGCGATCTGCAGTCCAGAAGTACCACTGTAAAGACCGCGACGGCCTGCAGTAACACACAGGCATGCACTTGAGATGTAGACGCTGCAAGTAATTTCTTAGTCACATGATGGACAGAGGAACAAATTCATCAGTCCTGCCTTACCACTACTGAAACTGTCCTTACAGACAGCTCATGTTCTGTGCCCATCAACTGCAGTAAAGACATGTTTTAGTGCAATGGCTCAAACCCTGCCTACAAGGTGAAGCAGCTGTTCAGACAGCCCCCAGTCTTCTCTCCTCGCTGCTGTCTTGCTTCTCAAAAAAAAATCAATCTGTGTCAAAAACTCAGTAGGAAGGCCAACTGAAAAAAGCCAAGTGCAAGTATGTTTACTTGTTATGTTTTTTTGTCAGGTGGCATTCTAGAAAGAAACTAGGTTTCCCTTTTACCTTTGCTACAGCTCCATTACTTTTTAAGATGACAATTCTTCCCTCTGCTACTGCAGAACAGTCTCAGATCATAGCAACATCAGACTGCAGGTAGGAAACCTTCCCCATACAAAGACAGCCACACTATGGGAGTAAGACATTCTCAAAGAACAGGCTCTTTCAACCACTCTTCCTTTCGGTTAGTTCAGTTAGAAAACAACAAAGGAAGCAGGGTTCACTTTCACATTTTACATAGCAGATTGTACCAACATACCAGTCCGAACTCCAGAATAAGAATTGCGAACTTAACATTTCCAGAAGAAGAAAGGGCTTGGAAGTGGAAAGATCAGAAAAAGTTCACAAAAGTACCAGCAGGCAAATGCACATCCCTTATCACAAACCACCTGCAGCCTTACCCAGGTAAGTGATGTTCTCAGCTAATTCGCAGCCACTGACGTCTGGGAAATAGCACACAGTCTCTTGGTCATTAGCACCAAGCACGTAGGTTGGAATTGGAGCTGGGGAGGAAAACCACACTCACTCAGTCTTCTTTAATTCAAGTACATTAGCACAAGCTCAGTCCACATTTCCTAGAAATTGCAGCAGGTCCCATTCTACAGACCCCAGCACCACTCCTCTGCAGCGTGCCGAGGAGCAATAAACACAGACCAAGAAATCTTCCTTCCAGATAAGCCCCCAAGCCTGCTGTTTCTACAGATGCACATAACACCAGCAGAGAATAACGTCTGCTTCAACTACAGTTCGCTCCACTGCCGACATAAGAAGATCAGCTCTGAAATGATCCGTAGCCCTAAAAGCACAGCTCTTCCCTAGGGCAATGCTGAGGAAATACCAGACCCCCCAGGGACACCTGGTGATTCAGGTTAAGCTGGTCTAAATTCACATGGCTCTTGAAAAACTGTAAACCATTGATGTTTTAGGGGAAAAGCTCGTGTTCACCAGCTCTTTGATTCTCTCAGTAGAAGAACTTGCCATATGTCTTCACCTTGAAATAGTGCATATAATAAAAAAAACGCAATGACAAATACCAGTTTTAATTCCTCTACGGCTAGGTGATCAATAAAAATTTATTTCTCAAAACAGCAGAAGTCAAATCTTTTTAAGCTTTTAGGAGTTAGAAAAAGCTATTAGAAGTTAGTCAGAATGTCAGAGACACCCCCTGCAGATTTCCTGGCAGACTGGTACACCAGTAAGCTGGTCAACAGTTCACCTGGTCAGCAGGTCTTAGTTTTTCACTGAATCAAAACTAGCAATAGTTTCCTATTTAAGAAGGGAGAGCAGCACAAATGCAGCAGCTCTGCTACACCTGTTGTTAGACTGTTGCTTGAAGTTCCAGCTCCCATGGCCGGAAGATACATAAGATTGCTTTCAACTGCAGAGCAGAGTTTGAAAACCTTATGAACAGATTAAAACCAAAGTGAAGTGACATGAATCTTGTTTGCGTCTGTATGCATACAGGTGAAATGTTTTCAACAGTTCAAAGAGTAAAGACAATTCAAGTGAGAATGAGCAAAAATGCATCGGCCCAGGGAAAACTTTGCTGTTAACACACACTTTTCTCCCTGCGCACACAGGGCTTCCTCAGGGAGCAAAGTTGGGAGCAGTAACAAGTCTCCTTATATTCTCATAGCAACAGGAACACAAGGCAGCATGCCTCGCCACGGGAAGTCCTCAGCCACAAGCAGCAGATGGGACAATCTTTCTCCAGACGGCTCATGCAGATGCACAAACAAGTCGGGGATAATGGGGGAGTGATGCAGCAGCAGAGAGAAACCAGGCAGCAGAAGTCCCAGCTCCTTTCTAGCTTGCCTCATGCCAGGGGCAAGAGCCAGAGTAGCACTGAAGAGGAAAGAGGAACACTACAAACGCTCATGAGGTAGCATCTCCTTTACAAGAGGGGTGTGGAGAGAGGCAGAGAAGCCTACACAGGACTTTTCATATCCATGGCTGGGAAAACATCTTCAGCACAAGGGCTGTGGGGACCGAGGAGGAACGGGGAAACCCTGCTCCTTTGGAAAGCCACCTGATCTCCATGTCTGAAAGAATAGAGATGCTCAGCCCACCAGCACCTCTGCTTTCCCATTTCTTCTCGGGCCTGAACGCAGGGAGGGGAAGAACAGCATTGCTACACCCTGCAGAGAGGTCTGTGGTGGAAGTGTGAAGGTGGGTGTGAACAGAGAATGAGCGGAAATTTCTGCAAGGGAAGCACCAGGAGTGGCAGGAGGAGGGCTAGACAAAGGCAGGTGTGCTGGGGTCCCACAGCCTGCTGACCGAAGCACCATAAACATCTACGTACAGCTTCTGAGGCTACCCAGGTTGAGAAAGCAAGGGCCGCCCCACGTGGAGACAATGGCAGGAACAGAAGTGGAGCCATAAGACATCCAGGCAAGGAGAGAGAAGACCCTGACACCAATGAGCAGCACCCTGTGTTTCTCCTATGACCATGAAGAGAGCTGGCCAGGTGACCCAGGCACAGGCTTTGATGCCCAAATCGTGGGCAGGCCACTTGGACACAGGCACCTTTGTGCTCCCCAGTCTGAGAGCAGGACAGAAATTAGTTTCGTTTTAAAACAAACCCATCTGTCCCTTTAACATGACACCACTTCACTGCGACTTCTGAATTCAAAGCACACTGTGATGAGACAGCAAAGCAGGTCACGAAATAGTGCAGTCACCACCATCCAGAGTGAGAACGCCTTCCTTACCTTTCTTGGCCCCTGTGCAATACTCTGCCCATTCTGCCTCTGAAGTAGAGCCAAAAAAATTGCCAACGCATAAAAGCATCTAAAAACACGGGATAAAGAGAGAGTTGCTATTTGACCAAAGACACAACACATGCAACTTTGTCACCGATAGGCTGTACTGTCACAGCACTGTGCAGCCCTTGTTTGTTATGGTAAAGAGGTTCCTCTGTGTTTATCTGCGTCTAGTATTAAACATGTCACAGCAATATTACCGGGTTTAAACGTGACAAGGAGACAGCTGCTCTCCTGCGCTCTCTGCCCGCAGGTGACAGCTCCCCCCAACCCCTTGGTGCTGGGCAAGGAGGTCTGAGGGAGTGCAAAGCCCCCTCCACCAGGCCTTTCCTCCCACCAGCACAAAGAGGAGGGTCCCGGCCCCAGAAACCCG